GATTCTTCTATAAATTAAAAAAAAAAAAAAAGATTATTATTCTTGTAAATATGTAGAATAGCAAAAAAAAAAAAAAACTCCTGATTATTTAAAATGATCAAATATTAATATAAAGTATTAAAATAATTAAAAATGTTTCTCAATATTCAAACACTCATCATGTTCACTTTAAATGGCCAAAAACTCAAATGTACATCAAAATCCTCTAAATGTATAGAATGTACTTTGAGGTTTTTGGTTGTTTTATGAACCTATGGTGTTTCTGTGTAGTTAAAAAAAGAGTACTCCTAAGGGTGTTTCTATGTACATACCATTTAAGTATTGTTGAGTATTATGATTTTACATTTTTTTTTTTTAATCATTAAAACAATCAAGTTAACAACTCAAAAACCCTTTAATATGCTAAAATGAGAGCATCAGGTAAATATGTAGAGTTATGCAAGATTAATTATTTTTTAAAAAATTATATAGATTCAGAAGAAGACTAAGCTACATAAATACAATACAATCCAAAGTTCGCGCATCTGTTATTGCTTTAGAACGCGCAACAGAAAAACCACTGCGCTTCTGCAATTCACACGTATTCTCAAGCTACAAAATTGATTACATAGAGGAGGTTTCACTTGGGGATATTTTAAAGAAAACCTTGTGCAGTGACTGACTATGCTGTGGATGCGAGGACGATCCAAAGCTGGCTGTACCTCCTCTTGAAAAGAAAAGATAAATCAAGGAAACATACCCTCAAGAAATTCATCAAAGTTCTCATCTTCATTACTTTCCCGATGGTCATCTGGGACTGACTCCATTTTCCCTGGAAAACAAAAAATACATGTTGAAAGTATTCATTAGCAAACAGCGAAAAAAAAAAAAAAACAAAATGAAAACAATATAATTCCAACAAATATCAAGTTCTAATATTTAGTTTCTCTAAATACATAGGTAGGCTTTTCAACTAAGATTACCTCGACCCAAGTGTGTATCTCAGCCTATTGACAAGAAACCACATCTACAATATTGGATCATCTATTCCCATGTTGGTCCTCTACTCATTATTATCTTTTGTTTATTCATGATTACTTTGCAGTCAATCATCGAACTTGGACATGATAGTTGCATATAAACTCATAGAGCTTGAACAAAATCAAGTTTAGAAGTGTTTAGTTAATGTTACCCACAGGTGGAACTGATTGCACATTTGATGGAAGGTCAAGATCACACTCCAGTTATAAAACCAACAAAAGTTAAAGAGAAAAAAACAGTTATAACGTGAGTTCAAGAATGAAACGAAAGCTTCTGGACAGTAAGTAATTAGAGACATCTAACCTTTTCTCTTCTCTTTCCTCCTATCATAATCCTCAGCCGTGTCACTGTCACTCCGAGACTGATCCCTGCATGAATTATAATATTATTAGGTCGACAAATTGTAGATAGATTTATGTTCCTTAACACCACTTATTGTTTTGAGTTTGTACCTTTTCCGTTTGTTCTCTTTTTTCTTGCTTCCTTCTGATTGCTCCTTCTCTTTTAGTTTTCTGTAGTTAAGCTTTAGCGCACACCTATTTGGAAACCGAAAAAAAAAGGAAAATGCAGTTAGAGATCAAACCGGATGTTCAAAGCTACTGAAGCAAAAAGCCTGGGAAAATCAGCATTTCATTGGTAAAAGAACAAAAATAAAATCTCGCGCACAAAAAGATCCCATTATCTGGTTCTAATATAAAACTTCAAAATAGGAAGACTAACATAAATCTTAACAAATCTAAAAACCTTGATTGTTAATAGTCCACGGCTCCCATGTCTCTCCATTGATAGTAGGAACTTACAGTAATAAAATTGACTATAATTGTCAAAGAGTAGCCTTTTAGAATGGATAATAAGAAAATTGGTGTAGCACCAAGCTGACAAGAAAATGGGAAAAGAGGTAGAGATTTAAGAAATAGAAGAGGAATAAAGGGCAGAAAATCCCATAGGATTCTGGGAATGGGAGGCTACCCAGAGAAGAAACGGACAAGAATGTTATAACCTAGTATTGAAATGACACTAATTTTTCAAAAGAAAAAAGGTTCAGACATTTTATATTAGAAAAATATTCCAGTATAACCTAACATATTCTCTACATTAGTAATATTATATAGGTGGAAGAAGGCGCTGACTGGGGCTGTTTTTCGGCTACGAAGGCTAGCCCCTACCGGGTTTTTTTATTTTGCAATGAAGGTCAAATAAGCTTTGTAAAAGAGTTCAAATTTCTTAACCTAGAACTCTGGTACCATGTGGAAGAATTGAATGTTGTGTGTAACGGCCCCGGAAAATATTAAAATGAAATGAGTATTTAAATATATCAAATGCGGAAGCGAGATCAAAATTTCAGTTAACATCCCTTACACGAAAAACCAAACAAACGTACTTAAAATATAAAAGGTTAAACTAACTAAGAAAGAAAACTCGAAAATAAACTATGCGTATGACTACAGAGTCTCTAGGCATCCCCTTCGTCGTCCTCCTGCGGAACGGGCTCGGGAACCATGTCTTCCTGATCTGAAATGGTTAATTAAGGA